GTGTGTGTGTGTGTGTGTGTGTGTGTGCGCGCGTGTGTGTAAAGAGCTGGTTTTGTGTTTTTAACTCCTAGCAGGCAAATCTGATTTCTTAGAAACTCCATGCTCCGCTGAAAATAAGTTCACCTCGTGGTTTACCATGACTCATTTTGTCATATGTACTTGGCTCACATTGCACAGCTCTGCGAAAGGAAAAGCAAATTCTCAGCCTGATTAGATTAGTAGAACTTTAACACTGACTCTTAATGTATAACCAAACCCTTTGGGAAGGCTTTTAATGATCTCATGCTATTGTGAACATGCACTCACCTAACTTTTTAACTTTTTGTTGTCTTTATGTCTTTTGATTTAGGTCACGATGAGTGGGGGGGTCAACGTGAAGTCAGTTCCCCGTGGGCCTCCCTCATCAGGAATACCCCTCCCTCGCAGTCTTCTGCCTTCCTCTCCTAAAACAGAACCAGGCCGCCGGGCGAGTGACCTGCCCAGGCCCTCGAAACAGACCCCTAAGCACACGCCAGCGAACACACCTGCACACTCCCCGTCACTTTGTCCAAGAAACTCCAGTATCCCTGGGCCTTCCTCCACAGATGCCCTGAGAGATGCCTGCCTTAAAAGTCAGCTCTTCCAGCGAACCGGAGCTCTTCCAATTCCCCAGGTGTCAAGATCTGCCTACAGCAGCCCGCTGACCCAGCGCCGAGTACATCCGCCACACTCCAAAGACACGCTAGACCTGGGAAAATCGCAAATCCTCTCCCAATTACCCCAGGATGGCAATCGCAACAGAAGCACCTTTGCAAATAAGAATCAAGCGTATGGAGCCGGCAACCTACGTCCACCGCTCAGTTTTAGCAGAGGAGACAATTCAAACATTGTAACCCAAGCAACGGCTGATGCGATACCAGGAAGGAAGGAAGAGCCTCCAAAAAACCATCCAGCCAAATCCGTCACACTCAGCAACTGTAACATTCGGCCCACTCTTCTTTACTCAAACCATCACACCATCAGAGATCATAGTGACTCTGGCAGCCAATCAGATGAGGAAATGGGAACTCCTGAGGATAGCAGTCCAGTTTCCTCTCCTCTTCCCTTACCGCTGCCAGCTATCACATTTACCATGCCAGTAACACCCAAGCAGGTTGTTGATCAGGAGGCAACATCTGAAGAGACACACATACCCAGAGTCAACATGGCTGCTGTGGCTCCCTTCAGTCACAGGTAAGGGGTCTTTCGTCACACAAGCACAACTGAAGCAAGAGTTATAAAGCCTTCCATTATGAGTCCTTTATCACGGACCCCCCTGTAATTATCATGTGATCATTTTCTTTACACATAGAAGTCATCCTCAGGACACTAAAGACCTGCCACAGAGGCCTCAGTATCTTTTCCTGCAACACGCACACTTGGAGATTTTCTGGAGCAGAGCTGATTGTTAAAGTGTCTTCTTGTAGCCCCTGGGCTGACACCGTATACTCCCATGCACACAGTTTTTTATGTTACTAAAAGCACAGTGTACAAAATCTACATTTAATAAAAGATTTGAAGTTTCTTTTTTCTTTATTAATGACAGGACTATACACAGTTCTTTGCACATAACTGTTTCAGCATTTTTCTGTTTATATGATTTGCTTTTGTGGAAATAATTGAGATGGTCATCGCCTCTCTTCTTCTACTGTCATACACAGCAGGTTATGCATTTGATTGTAAAGGATATGAGTTGCATGTTCAGTAACAGATGTGTGATGGCTGTGTTTGTGATGTGTTGACAGGCTGCAGGCACAAGTGAGTGAATTTTCTGTGGATGAACTGAGTGACTGCTCATCTGGATCCATAGAAGTCTGCTGTGATGACCTGACACCAGGTTAGACTCACACAGCAGTAACACACATCTCCTCTCCTTTCTCCCTTCCCTTAGCTAAACAAAACTTGGTCCAGTTTTTTCTGCCCCGTTAATATTAGGGCACCAAGATGCCAAGAGCACTTCTGGCAGGTACGAGTGATGTGTGCTTTCTGGCAGCCAGACGTTTACTGCGACAGAGTCATAAGTGGCGTCAGACACAACAACCAGTCTTTGTCCAAATGTATGTCTGTCACGCTGCAATTCATCAGTCGTCAGGAGCCATGTCTGAAGCTAGGTGGTGTAGTTTTCTGTGTGCCTGGGGTTCTGCTGAGTACCGTAGTCCCTGGATGAAGAGATGTGCTCAGGATGTTAGGATGAAGGATGTTGACACTGGTGATGTGGGTCAGTAATGGGATGAAATGGGGCACTTCTTAACTTGCTGCCAGGCAGCATTATATGCACATTGATTTCATATTCATCCAAGAGCTGTTGTAGAGTTCGAACCCATTCTTCCCTCTCACAGTTCCTCTTTTCAGATTTCGTTGACCTAAAAAGCCACAGTCCCAGCATGACCCCATCCCTGTCCTGATCCTGTGGCTTTTGAGTAATGGTTTGCTCTGTACGCACGGCTATAGTTACACATTGTAGTGGTCAGTCTGAGCCCAAGAATGTCAACGTGCTTCTGAGAAATGACTTTTTCAGTGGCTTAGTGAATCATTCCTTTTGATGTGGTGTCAGTTAAACGGAAAGAAGATCAACTGCTTTTTAGTTATTATATGTATGTTAAAATATGCACAGTGTAGTCCGAAATAACTTTAAGTTATACTGGGTTTACATATGCATCACACTGTGCCATATATTAGGTAAATTACAGCTGTTTCTATATGTAATGTCTACGTTCAGGGACAATATAGCACAGTGTCATTTAATTAATAACTTAAACCTTTAAAGGTACAGTCAGTCATTAATTAGTGGAAAAAGAAAGAATATTGAATTCATAAATCTGAGCCTTTCTTATAAACTTAGAGTTAATCCATAAAAAATGGACAGGAGTGGGTACTGGTTTGTGCAAACCGCCATGCTGAGCCGCCATCTTGAACACAGTGGCTGACATGGAGATCGCTGTTCTCCTTACTCATGTTTTATTTATGCAGCTTGAGACTGGCCACATAGATAGTAGAGCAAAGGCAGAGGAGAAGATAACTTGTAGGCGTTTGCGTGCTGTGGAGGCAAAATCTAATCAGTGTCTACACCTTCAGGCTCAAGATATGAAGGAAATGAAAATGCAAAGCAAAGATGCGACTGGTATCTCTCAACCTCTTCCTCCTTACCCCAAGCCTCATTAACTGAACTGAAGTTAGAGCTCGAATGCACAAAAGTGCACAAACATGCTTATTTATTCCCAATATTTTTGCCTTGTCTGGACAGCTGACTAAATATTGGCTAAACAACAATAACAGCTGGTTGTAAGCTAACAATATGTCAATTAGTCTTAAGTGTCCTAAAAATCACAGTTTCCCTGTGAAAACAGTTTGATTACATTCTAAGTGTCACAGTGATCCACCAAGAATATTTCACTAAGAGTGGCTAACAGTAGCTAACAGCAGCTAACAGTAGCTATCAGAGGCTAATAGCAACACTTAACAACAGAAAAGTCAACAAGTCACCTCAGTATTGCTGCCATCGAACAGAAGCGAGCTTCACTGACTCATCAACTTGGATTGGAGTCCTTTCACAAATATTTACGGCGTCCTCTAGACTCACCCAGAGTAAATACACATGGATACCTGGCAAGCAACAGACAGACAGCCTACACTAGCTAAATGCTGGATGCCTTCATTTCTTGCAGCGTATGCATCTCTACAGATAGCTGTAAAGTACAACTTGGCTGCTTGGCAGAGAAGTTCAAGCTCAAGGCAGTAGTTTGAGTTTGAACATACATTGTGTCACAAGAATAGAGTTATTTGCAAATGAAACCTTTATAAAACCTTTAACCATCTGGTTGTGGAAAAGGGGGATGGGAACTGGTGGTGGACCAGCCCTAGTCTTTAAGGGCCTCTGGCTGTCTTGGGGCTAGTTTTGGCCTTTTAATTGGTGCCTAGCAGGCGTTAGAAACAGAACCAAAGCATCTTTGACTCCTCTGAAGCTGCATTTACATGGATGGTGGGCTGGCACTGTAATAACTGTAATTTAGCAAGTGGAGGAAGGGAGGGAAACGGAGTGGAAAGCAAAGTTTGTAGGGAAGGAAGGAGGGAGAGGAGTGAGAGATGAAAGGAGAAGACCAATGAGGTCAGTGGGTTGATGAATTTCATTTTGTGTAAGGAGGACAGAGAATAAACAATAAGTGTGTGCACTGAGATGAAAAGACAGATTATTAAATGTTAGTTAAATTTTTACAAACTCCTGGTGGTGAGCAAACACGATAAAGCCCAGTTATTTGATGTGGGACTGGCTGCTCTTTGTGGCAAGAGTCGATCTCCTTAAATGTAATATTCTCTATATGCGTTGGATTGAATCAGGGTAACGCGATCCGCTCTTACATCTTTTAACTGAGACCCTAATGAAGATCTGAACGTTTAATGTGATTGTAGGACCATGTGCTCTTTCAATTAGACCCCAGAACTCCTGACCCTATTACTCTCTAGAGAGGTGTATCTGAGAATGGGCTTTTCTCCGAGGCTGTGTGTGTATGTGTGCTGATGTATGCACAAGTGACAGTGCACAGATGGCTTTTGAAAGATAAATGTGACGTGGGTTGTGTATCATTTTTCATCCCTGCAATATTTTGTCCTAAAATTCCCAACGGACAAAATGTCGCAGTCTCAAGTGC